AAATTATGGCGGGAAAATTCATAACTCGAGAATGAGAAAAGCTGGAAAGTTCAAGCCTTGGGGGATGTCCCCTACTCACGCACGACCAAAAGTTTTCAAACTCAGCTCCTTAGGACCGCCTGGGGCCCATGTACGGGCACGTGGAAATTTTGGCGCCAAAACCACTAGCCCGAGAACGCGAAAAGTTAGAAAGCTGAAACTTTAGGGGAGTGTTTCCTACTCATGTATGACCAAAAGATTTCAAATTGAGCTCCTTAAAACTGTCCGGTTCTCTTGTACGGACATGTGAGAATTTTGATGGGAAAACTGCTAACTCGGGAATGGGAAAAGCTGGAAGCCTTAATTTTAAGGGAATGTTCCCTACTCATGTGCGACTAAAAGATTTCATATTTAACTCTTCTAGTGCGGCTTTTTTTGCGAACCAGCAACTTTCCATTTGTCGGATCACTGAAATCGACATCTTCAACTGACATACCACATAGTTGCACAATTAACTCTCCGAACTTCGAGGGCCAGTATGTCGCAAGGTTAGCTACTGTGATTCCTTGCGATCTTGCTACGGCACAGAAAGTGCAAAAACGCATAATCGCACCGGCCGGCCTGGCGCGTTCCAGCCTGGGTTATGAAACTGAGCCTGGGTAAAACTGTTCTGCAAAACCTGTCACTAGGCTTCTTTATGAAATTGATGCTTAGGTAAGGTTGTTCCGCAAAAACCCGTCATTAGGCTTCCCTGTTCATCAGACTAATGTTTAGGCAAAGCTATTCCACAAAAACCCGTCATCAGACTTTCCTGTTTAAGAAACTGGTGCTTAGGTAAAGCTGAGAGCGAATAAGTTCCATGTATTGGGCAAAAACAGGGTAGAATGGATGCCTGGGGATCAAGTCAGCCCATACTCCTGTGAGATTGTGAAGACACACAGTTGCAGGCTGCAAGAGGTAACACTGTGGAAATGTCGGCAATTCTTATGTAATCCAACCGGACTTATTTGCCCTCAGCTCCATCTAAGCATAAGCTTAAGTAAATACAGTCGAACTTATCTGCCCTCAGCTTCACCTACGCATAAACTTCAGTAAATCCTGTGGAACTTATTTACCTTCAGCTTCACCTAATCAAAAGCTTCAGTAAACCCTGTCGAACTCATTTACCCTTAGCTTCACCTAAGCATAAACCTCATAAATACGGGACCGCTTACTGAAGATGGGTTTTTATAAGACAAATCTTGCTCCACAAGCTCAGTTTTTGTTTGCTTTTGGTTACAGGCTCCACTTCTTTGATTTTGCTTTTTTTACTTTTATTCACAAATTCAAGTCTGTTTTAATCTACTTTTCTTTGTAGCGCCGTGTTGGTTTATTTCCTTCTTTACTCCTATCACCAGTTCTTTTTTCGAACTTCTAACTAGCACCGTTCTTTCCCTCCTGTATCCTGTCCCCAACTCCTGCCTCCAAAGTTGCATCGGGGCACCCACCAACTTCCAACCACTATCACCGTTTATTGTCCTGATCTCTTCGGCAACTGCTGAAACTCGGCGCGGCTCGGCTCGGCACAGCTCGGCTCGGCTCGGCACAACTCGGCTCGGCATGGCTCGGCTCGGCTGCCCCGGCCGGCCTCGGCTGCCTCGGCTACCTCGGCCGCACCTCGGCCGGCCCCTGGCAGCGGCACAAATTACCAATTTGTCGTCAAGCGAAAAGTGGGAGAGCGGGACGGGGAGGTGAGGGACATGCAGGAGGAGGAGGAAGAGGCGAACGGGGAGGACGTTTGCAAGGCAGACGGGGGGAGGTAGCGGCAGTGGGGATGGATGGGGAAGACGGGGATGAGGCGAAGCGGGGAGAGGGGGGAGCAAAGATAGGGAAAGGTGCAGGGACGGGTGGGGAGGGGGACTGCTGGGGGAGAACGGTGACCGTGGAGTCGGAGGCATTGGGGAAGGGGTGCTAGGGTGAGTTGACTGGGAACGTGGCGTGGCCACATAGGGGAGAGGGAGAGATGAGCGGGT